GAATATAATAAAAATTATACATTTGCAATTATTAAAAAAAAAAAAATTAGCATAACCTCACCATTTTCATTCGAAACAGAAGATGCTAAAGAAAAAAAAAAGAAGAGCAAATTATTAAGGGTTAAACATGCAACATTTTGTATTTTAATAAATATATAGGGCAATAATGCAACCAGTTTAAAAGTGTCATATTTATTAATTAATTTTACCACCTATTGCACATATTTCTCCATACAAAACATATAAAATATAAAACACAGCCCTACCAGCTATACTTTCACCATACACTAAAGACAAATATATACTTTAATAAATACCTAATAATCGATAAAATAATGTTAACATATAAATATATACATATCTAACAATTGTTATAACTAAAGCTAAAAACATAAGTATAAACTAATTGATTAAACATATTACTAATTATAAACTATAAACTAATTGATTAAACATATTTTTCAAAGTAACACAAATTATTTCTTTTTTTTACTACTCTAAAATTAAAAATAAAATAAAAAAACCTAATAAATAACTAAAAAAATCTTACTCAAAATATTAAAAAAAAAATTCTCAAAACTAATATATAAAGAATCCAAACTAATGCAAAACAAAATTATTTTGCCATCATCAAAAGTAATACAGGTTACTTATGTTTATTTAATAAAAGTTAAGAAAATCCTGCAAACATATTAGCAAAAACTTAATACAAAAAGTTTAAATTTATTCTAATTCTAATAAAGAAAAAAAAATTTAGAAACAAACAACATATCTTCGCAGACAGCGTCATAAGGCATGCGTTGGGAGAAAACATTGAACAAAACGTGTAATAAAACTTATTAACGCGTTATGTACAATAGAAAACGGGTTATTAACGCAGGTTTATAAATTTTTTTCCCCCAACACACTATTACGCTGCCGCAACTCCAAGGATATACATAGTTATATTTATATAGAACACACACACACACATATATATATATATATATATATATATATATATATATATATATATATATATATATATATATATATATATATATATATATATATATATATAACTATTTATTAGCGAAAACATATGAAAACCAAAATTTTTTATATAACATATATAGTATATTTGATAAATAAACCTCTACAATTTTTTTGGTTCAACAACTTGATTATGATTAATAACAACTCTGTAAATATAAATTTTTTAATGAGCTAAATCTTTATAAATTAGATATTTCATTTTATATCTTAATTTTAAATTAAGTAAATTATATATATCTTAACTATAAATTTAATCTTTATAAATTAGATATAAATAGAAAAACAAACATATAATAACACAATTATATCCTAAACCAATATTCAATCATGCAAGGCAAATTATTAAACTTTTTGAAAAGAAAAAAAAACATATTTTTTTTTAAAGAGCCAAAGTATTAACAATACTATAGATAAATTTTATTTATAACAAAATGTTGTCATGGCTTTTATCCCAATTATTAAAAGCATTTGAAAGCATGAAACTACCCATAAATGTCTTTTAATGGTAGACACCATCTAAAAATTATAGTAATCTATATTTTCAAAATTCACATGTATAACACGAAGCTTTACTACTTAGACATTTTGAAAAGATTACGATTTTGAAAACTTGAAACTTTAAATTTAAATTTTAAAAAGCTGAAACTTTTATTCTACCTCAAAGAAAACAGATATATATTGAAAAGTATTTTTATTTCTTTTTAAAAACTTAAAAATGCTTTTAAACTTACTCCCTCCAATATAATTATATAATATATATAGTATATACGATAAATAAACCTCCACAATTTCCTTGGTTTAACAACTCAAATATGATTAATAACAACTCTGTAAACATGAATTTTCTAATAACCTAAATAAATTACAGATAGACAAACATAAATAACAACATTAAATCCTAAGCCAAAATTTATTCATGCAAGACAAATTATTTTATATTTATTGAAGAGCCAGAAACATATTTTTTTTCAAAGAGCAAAAGTATTAACAATATTAAAGATAAATTTTATTTATATCAAAACTTTCAATAAAAATTAAATAAAGATTAATTTATAACAAAATGTTGTCATGGCTTTTATCCCAATAACCAAAACTATGTGAAAGCATGAAACTACCCATAAATATATTTTAACGCTAGACACAATCTAAGAATTAAAGTAATCTATAACACGAAGATTACTTTAAATTTAAAATTACAATTTAAAAAAGATTACAATAAATTAATTACTTTTAAATTTAAAAAAATTTTAGATTACCTATAATTTTAAGCTACTAAACATTATCTACTTAATATCAACTTTTGAACTCGTTAATAACAACATTTTGAACTCGTACCATGAAAGGTTGAAAGGAAATCTTTAAGAAAGCACGCGGTAAAGAAAAGTCTAGAAACTACTTAAAAAGTGTATTTTACAGATACAGAACCGTACTGTAACTATAAAATAATACTCGTAACTATGCGCACTATTAGTAATAATAATAATAATATTCATTCGGCTATTCATTATAGAGATTACAATGAAGTCAACTTAGCAAAAAGTAACCCGTAATACGGGTTATGGTCGGTCTGTTACATAATTAATTTATAGTGGCTGTTTTCCACAAAGTTGCAAATTCTTAACTAATACCCTTTTAGAATAGTGCCTTTAAATTGAACAAATTTATCTCTCGGTAAAATTAACATAATAAGGATGAGGAGGCAAATTAAATTACTAAATATTATTTAACAAATTATAGCAATTTACAAATGGCATAGGTCATATCAGTGTAAGGCATAACCATTTTTATCGACATTTAAGTTCAACACAAAATAATAACACTTCGCCATTCTTTTTAAATATCAACTAAATTCTTGTAATACTTTTTATAACATAAACCTTAATTATTTATTAAGATTATCATGAAGTTAACTTATATTATATTATACAGGAGTTATTAACTTTTGGTATCCCCTCTCAGGTTAAATTTTTCTTTGGAAAAGAAAATGTTATCTTAACAACGTTTAATGCACTTAACTAAATAAATTTATTAACATTATCTAAATTTATTATAAATATCTAAGCAATTGAGTATAAAAACGTTTAAAAAAAATTAAGTAATTTACAATCAAACATGTGTATAACAAATTTTTTAAAAAATGTTAGCTTTGATCTTTTATATTGCGTCATACGACAAACCTAAAATTGAAAATATAAGTATACAGATAAGTAGGCATAAAAACAAACAAAAAAAAGTAGACAAAAAAGAAAGAAAAAATGACTGGAAAACAATTTACCTGCTTTTGGTAACCTGTTATTGTACTTCAGTTTCTGTCATGATGCAACAGTTTTTGTCGGTGTTGTTTAATGACGCTATTTAATGTTGGCTTTCAGTAAGCTTTAGTTTAATTTAGAAGACATCACAATATATTTAAAATATTTAAGTTAAGAGCAAAATAAAATGCGTTAAGGGGCTAAACTATAAACATTTAAGACAAAAAATCAAATTGAGATATAAATTAATTGCATTTATATAGCTAAATAATCTTGGCTTATAGTAAATTTTAAAAGTAGCAACTGCAATATTATTTTTAACAATTGAATGTAGCATCATTATACTATGATAATTGAATGAATCAATTTAATTGTATTTTAAGTTTAACTCAGTTTTCATTTTAATTAAAAAAGAAGAAAACAAAGGAATATGCAACAGAATATATTTGAAAAAAATATACAAATTAAAAACAAAAAAAACAAAAAACTTAAACAAAAAAATTACAATTAAAAACAAAATTACAATTAAAAAAAAAAAAAATTAAATAACCTAAGAAAAGGCAGCAACAAAAAGTTATAAACAATTTTTATCATAACTGATAGAAGTTATTTATAACTTTTTTATTGCTGTTTGATTTTTGGTGTCTCCCAACACCCCGGTATGGATGAGCCCTCCATTTGAAGGAGGACTCATCCATACCGCCATTAGAACACCACTTTTTGAAGGACCTCTCTCAGAGAGGCCCTGGGTGTTGGGAGCGATATTGTTTATATATGTCGTATGTCAATTGATCTAGAATAATAAATAGAAGAATATAATTAAAGTTATAAATACTTGGAATTTTATTTAATCAAAATATAAAGCATAACCTCACCATTTTTAATCGTAACTGAAGACGATGCTTCAAAAAGTTTTATTTTAGTAAAAATCTAAGTAAAACAGGAACAGTTAATATGTCATCTTTATTAAAAATTATAAAAACTTGCGTTTTCATTTAATATAAATATAATCCGATGCTTAAGCATTAAAAAAAAAGGGTTAATTAAAAAAGATTAAATGTAAAAAATTTTATTTTAATAAAAGTATAAGTAAAATAGGAACAGTTAAAAAATATCATATCAATGAATTAATGAATAACAACCTCCCTCGAGGTTGGGGGAGCACCATCTTCACCAACAAACACATCAGCAACTCTTGAAGGGGGTGATAGACGTCGCTATAATCTACATGTATATATATGTATATATATATATATCTATATGTATATTTATATATATATATATATATATATATATGTATATGTATATATATATATATATATATATATATATATATATATATATATATATATATATATATATATATATATATATATATATATACATATATATATATATATATGTATACATATATACATATGCTTTTATACATACATACACACACATATATACATATCCTTGGAAAGGCGGTCAGCGTCTTAGTTCATGTGTTGGGAGAAAACATTGAACAAAACGCATAATAAAACTTATTAACGCGTTATGTAACCAGATAACACCAAATGTTGGCCCGACGTCGGAATATAGTATATGGGCCACCGAACTCAAAAGGACGTCCTGCCTACGTCTATATCTTTATGTTGGGCCAACCATTTAAAAAAACGTCTTTTTTACTTCGGTACGATAACGTCGGGCCGACCGTATTATTTTTACCTCGTGCCTACATCTATAGGATGCGTAATGCGGATGTCAGTGCAAAGCATTAATGCTTTTATATATTAAAAAGCATTAATGCTTTGTACTTACTGTTTGTACTTAGATCCATTTGTAGCTAAAAAAGATAATCTGAAAGAAAAAGAACCTGTAAACGCAAATATTCTTCAAAAAAATGATGACTAGCAAGTAAGTTACTTAAACATTACATTAAAATATATTACAAAATTTAATTATTGATTAAATCAATAAAGTTTAAAAGTTTTGTTGCTAAATATTTATAAAGTGTTTATTATAAAAATGAATATAATTATATTGGTTACAATTTGTAACTAGTATAATAATAATATTAACATTTGTAATACAAATGTCATTTGTTGTGAAAACCGATGTAATTATATTGATTTTTGTAACAGATGACAGATTAATATAGACCACATAGATTATTAATAATATTTCAATATAATTAAAGTTTTTTGACAATATTATTGAAATAAACTTATCAGTACTGTCATATTTATCAAATAAAATAGTTGCATAAAAAATTCACTAATTTATTAAAGTTAAATTGTTAAATTTTATTAGATCCAAGTCATATTCTTCCATAAGGCGTCGTATTCGTGCCAGAGTTCAAGCACACTTGGAAGACATTCAAAGTTCAAGTGCCAAAAATAAAGATAATGGCCTCATACATAATTATTTATCAGTTGATCAATGTAACAGTAAACTCACTTTTACATTTCATGCAGATGTAAATAAGAAGGTCTATTTTGAAAAAGAAAGTGATCTTGATAAACCTAGTAAAATTGCAGATGTGTTTGATGATAATCAAGTTTTAGATAATAATGAAATATATAATAATCACCCATCTGAATCGGATGACAATGTATATCTCCAAATGAGTGACAGTGATAACATGAAATGGGAATCTGAATCTGAGATTTTTACAGATACTGATGAAAGTGACAATTATGGTAATGAAGGACTGCTTGTTAATGATCTTGCTCAATGGGCTGTTGAAGAAAATATTTCTCACAAATCATTAAAATCTCTCTTACATATACTTCAACCACATCATTCTTTTTTGCCTCTTGACCCCAGGACTTTATTGTCAACACCAAGGTATGTGAGTTATGAAAAATTAAATAGTGGTGGTATATATCATCATTTTGGAATTGCTTCATGCTTGCAAAAATTGTTTAAAAATGAACAAAGTTTTGTAAATCTATCAGGCTGTTCTCAATTGTCAATGCAATGCAATATTGATGGTTTGCCTATATTTAAAAGCATTGGTTTACAGCTGTGGCCAATTCTTGGTTTATTAAAACAACCAAGTTACACAAGTAACCTTTTCTAATTGGATTGTATGCTGGATATAACAAACCTTCTAATCTTATTGAATTTTTAAACTCATTTGTAGTTGAAACAACTCAATTAGAAAAAAATGGAATAATACTAAAAGACAAACTTTATCAATTTCGCATTCATAGTTTTGTGTGCGATGCTCCTGCACGGTCATTTTTAAAAAATACAAAGCTATATAGTGGATATTATAGCTGTGATCGTTGCATTCAATCGGGAAAATATATAGGAAGAATGACATTTCCAGAAGTAAATAGCCCTCTTCGAACGAATGAAGCATTTAATGATATGTTGTATGAAGATCATCATAAAAACAATATTAAATCACCTCTAACACAGTTGTCTATTGGCATGGTAACTGACTTTGTGTTAGATTACATGCATCTTGTCTGTTTAGGTGTCATGAGAAAGTTATTACAGTTTTGGGTCAAGGGTCCTTTAAAAACTAGATTATCTACACAACAAGTCATGAAAATAAGTGAACACCAGAAGTTGTTACGTAGTTCAATACCAAATGAATTTATGCGTAAACCGCGTTCCCTCACTGAATTAGATCGTTGGAAGGCAACAGAATTTCGTTTGTTTTTGTTGTATACTGGTCCATTAGTTCTTAAATACAATTTGCATCCTATTTTGTTCAAACATTTTTTGCTTTTTCATGTAGCCATTTCATGTCTTGTTAGCAGTAAGCTTTGTCAAAATATGTGCAACTTTGCTCAAAAATTGTTGACAATTTTTGTCCAGCATTCACAGAAGTTATATGGACCAGAATTTATTACTTACAATGTTCACTGCCTGGTTCATTTACCAGATGATGTTAGTAGGTTTGGTGCATTAGATGAAATAAGCGCCTTTCCTTTTGAGAATTACTTACAAAGTGTTAAAAAACTTATACCAAAACCATCATTACCACTTGAACAAGTTATAAAACGAGTTTCAGAAAAAATGCTTATCTCTGTTTCTAATAAAGATACAAAAAATGATTATCCTATGTGTAAATATGAGCATAACAATGGTCCAATATGTCCTGAGTTGTTTAATATCATTCAATATAAGAGTATTAAACTTCAATCATATATGTTTTCATTAACAAAAAATAAAAACTGTGTATTTTTGAATACTTCAAAAGTTGGAATTCTTCAAAACATCATTAAGAAAGATTTAGATGTATATATAGTTGTAAAATTATTTTGCAACACAGACTCATTTTATGAATATCCTTTAGACTCAAAATTGTTAAATACATTTAAAGTGTCTCAAGTTGAAGATAAAGTTTCTATATATAGCATAAATGATGTAGTTTCAAAATGTGTGTGTTTACCTATAAATGAAAGTGAACACCTCATTATATCTTTTTTGTGAAAAAAATATTTAACTGACATGTTGTTTTTAATTATATAACTGAATCGGTTAAAAAGTTTTTTTGTTTATTAAAGCCTTTAATCTATAGAGTTTTGCTAATATATTTAGATTATATTGTATTGTTCACTTTCTGGACACTGATGAAGTGGAAATTGCTCCTAAAACCTGGATTAAATGTACTGATGTTGATGAACATCTTGAATGTTATTGGCCACTATTTAAATCTCAGCAAAAAATTTTAAAAGCTGTTTAGACATGCGTTGATGTTGAAACTGATAAATGGAAGAGTTACAAAGCAAGAATTTTGAAAAATTATGGTATTGTTTTGCATCTTTTAATGCTGCAATTGTTGAAAAAAGTTTATAACAGTTCTAATATTTATAAAAATGTTTTACATAAGTTTGATAGCTTATGAGCAATTATACAAATAAATCATGTGCTGTCATACTTATGAAATAAATACTTATTGTTTGTAGTATCTCATAACTGACATATCAGTTAAAATATAATATAGAACTTCATTTAAACGGGTTTAGATTCATATGAAAGTGCAGTAAAAGATATTACAAAAGCAAAAGAAAAATCTGATTTGGTGACTGATGTTTTAGACGTAGACGATGGAACAATGCAATGTAAACAAAAACGAGCAAGGTATGTAAAACTAAATTAAGTTTAATGATTTATCACAATTATTTGTGGTTCAACAAAAATTGTTTCAGTTCTGAAATTTTGCTGAAATATCTTTTAAATTTTGTGTATTGATAAAAGCTTATTTTTAGGAATTCATACTTGCCTTTATCAGACACTGATATATGCAGTAGTCCAGAAATAAATTTTTGTTTGCAAAAAGGCAACTCGCAACTAGCTAAACCGAAAAAAAATCTGAGCAAAAGTCTGGCACAAAAAAGCCATAAAAAGTTAAGTATAGAGTACGAAGATCTTCCTGAGCCACCTGTTTTTTCAAATTCTCACTTAAATTTTAACACTCCAGAACATGTGACAAGCAGATCAAGTAGCCTGCCTAGCATTCTGTCATCATTTTCTAAACCTCATGGAAAGCCACTTTTAAAAGAATTTCCATTATGCTCTTCAGATGGATGGCTGTATTCAGTTGCAACACGTATATATTAAATTATTAACTGCTAATTTTTATTTCATCAGAATAATAGATTACATATATATCACATTATAGATTATATATATAGATTACAGAATGTCAATGGTTATTTTGTTTTAATTTTTAATTTATGTTTTACATCATTTTAAAAATTATATTGAATTTATTTTAAATAATATTTATAATTATAGTATTTCTTTGCCAATATTAAATTATTTAGCTCACTAGTTCTAATATTTTTTAGCTGTAGAACAGAAACTAATTCTTCTTCTTGAAGAAATTAAAGCGCAAGGAGACGAGCTTAAGGAACAAGGAGAAAAAGCTATAAACCTGTTACAGCACCTTCCAAAAACAAATGACGGAGAGAGTTTAATAAGAGGATTACCTTTCCAATTACCAGCAACAACTGTTGAAGAGTTAAACCTTATTAACGATCAAGCTAAAGAAAGCGACATTAAAGGAAGACTGGTAAAGCTCTATTTAAACTTAATTGTTAATACATAAATTATTTATCAAATAAATAAATTACATATTCATGAAATTATTAATTATTTTAATAATACTAAATAAGTTAACAATAAAACATTAAATCAAATCATAAAAGATATGTATATGCAAACCTAATTCAATATTTTTTAATATAAAATTGTATTTTTTGTATAACATAAATTACTTTTAAAGTAATATTCAATCATTAATCAAAAATTTTAGCTTAGTGAAACTTGTTTTTTCAAGTATTATGATAAACTTTACCCTATATCTTTTACATCCTTATTACCTTATACTACTTTATATAGACAAGATTTCTTGGATTGGTTGGCGGGCTCAATGTAAAGTCAACTACCAGAGCAGTGCTAAGTCGTTTACTGATCACAGATGTAGCAAAGTCATGTAATTGGAAGGGAAAAGGAAATAAGATTGCATTTAGCAAAATGTACCTTGTTGGAATTGTTTGTGGTAAAATTACTTATTTTATATTTGTGATATATAAAACAAGCTCGTAGACAATTTTTTTTGATATTTCAGTTAAGCAACTTTGAGACTTATAGAAAACTCCATTTTTAAGTATGTTTATATATATGAGGAATGAGGATGCTATGCAAAAAATTGAGGTGATTAGAGATTGGGAACAATAAAAACTCCAAAACGTTAGTCCCTTCCCTCAGCCTCAAATTGGAGGGCAATGAGTCAAATTTGTTATCTTTATTTTAATTTTAAACTTAGTTTGTATTAATTGTTTGTAATTGCAAATTTGATTCAATAATATTTTTATGATCGCCTTTATGACCTCATAAAGTTTACAGCCCCCTCAGTTTGAGGGGATGTAAACTTTAAAATATTGTAAAAGCAGAACAAAAGATTAATGAATAAAATTTGAAATTTGTCGATGAATAAAAATTAAATTTGAGAATAAAATAAAAATAAAAAGTTTGACTCATTGCCCTCCAATTTGGGGCTGGGGGGGGCTAACGTTTTGGGGTTTTGTTGTTCCCAGTCTCCAATCACCGCAATTTTTTGCACAGCATCCTCATTCTTCATATATATGAACATACTTAAATATGGAGTTTTCTTCATGTTTTAAAGTTGCTTAGCTCAGACATAAAAAAAAGTTATCTACGGCCTTGTAAAATATATTTTCTGGTAAAAGTCACCTTCACTAGGTTATTGATGAACCTGGTGAAACAGACTATAGATGAAATATATATATATATATATATATATATATATATATATATATATATATATACACACGTATTCATATATACTTTGTATTTTAAGATGCAGTAAGAAGAAATCCAGCAACAAGTCAAGCAACAGATAACGAGATTGGAGTTGTTTGTCGGGACTGGTTTAAACATGCAAGTGATCGAGATGGAGGAAGACAACGTCGTGCCAATCGTTTATGTCTACATTAACTATTATATAAAGCCTTTATAATATATATAAATAAATCTTTTTTATTTTTTAGTTGTTGTTTTTTTAGTTATACTTTTGTGACTAATAGATAAAATCATTATTAATAAGTCATTTAAACAATTTATTTATTAATAAATTTATTGTTTATTAATAAAGTAATTTTAAACAGTTGTCAACTGTAAATGTCAACTGTTGATATATCAATCAGTTGATAAGCAAGCAATCATTCATGACTAATTAACATTTAATAATTAACAAAATATTTTCATTAGTCATGTTTTTAGTAAATTTTTGAGTGGTCTCTTTCTGTGTCCGAAAAATCTTGCTTTTCCATCAGATATTTGTCTAATTGGTACAACAATATTAATATTGTGCTAACGTAGTACCGATAATGAAATCGTTGTGCCAGCGACGTTTTCACACAAAGTTGGATAAAACTGCTCTTTTCCAACTTCACAATGATGCCCAACATCAACGTCGGCAATCAAGTAATTTCTGTACGTTGGGCCGGTTAGATAGGGCCGACGTGGAACCGGTGATCAAATCGCAGGCAATCCGACGTCTTTTGCCGACGTTGGGCCAACCATAACAAAGACGTCTAAATGACGTCGGCTGGACGTCAATGTGTTATCTGGGTACAATACAAAACAGGTTATAAACGCGGGATTGTAAATTATCCCCAAACACACAAACTTTGACACTGCCTATATATATATATATATATATATATATATATATATATATATATATATATATATATATATATATATATATATATATATATATATATATATATATATATATATATATATATATATATAACAAAATGTTGTCATGGCTTTTATCCCGATTATTAAAAGCATGTGAAAGCATGAAACTCTCCATAAATATCTTTTAACGCTAGACACCATTTAAGAATTATAGTAATCTATCTATATATTTCCTTGGTACAACAACTCAATTATGATTAATAACAACATTAACTCTGTAAAGATGAGTTTTCTAATAGTCTAAATCTTAATAAATTATAAACAAATAAACTTAAATAAAAATGTATGAAATTGATTAATGCTATAATAAATATAGAAAAACAAACATGTAATACCACAATTATACCCTAAACCAAATTCATTCATGCAAGAGAAATTATTATACATTTATAGAAAGGCCAAAAACATTTTTTTAAAGAGCAAAGGTATTAATAATACTATAGACAAATTTAATTATATCAAAGTTTTCAATAAAAATTAAACTAAGATAAATTTTGTTTATAACAAAATGTTGTCATGGCTTTTATCCCAATTATTTAAAGCATGTGAAAGCATGAAACTCTCCATAAATATCTTTTAACGCTAGACACCATTTAAGAATTATAGTAATCTATCTATATTTTCAATATTAACATCTATAACACGAACCTTTAAATTTAAAAGTACAATTTAAAAAAAGATTACAATAAATTAGTTACCTAATAAAATTTTAAAAAGATTACATATTACCTATAATTAAACATTTTGAACTCGTGAATGAAACTACCTATTAATCATTTTTTAAACAACAGTTACCACCATAAAGATAAGCCAAAGATAACAACATTACGCAAAAAATTATCAAAGATAACGTTGTCTATTTTCAAAAAATTATATAAAAGGCTAGACAACATTTAGACCTGAAGCAATGCTTGACAGGTTAAAAAGAAAAATCTCTCTCTACACGTTTGCCAAGTCACACCACTTTGAAATCATGGAAACAACATTAAATAAACATATATACTAACTATAAAACACAATATATTTTTTTAATGTTATATAACATATAAAAACACCTCATTTAACAATCTTATACACATTAGATAAAATACATTTTATACTATTATAAAAACACATTTAAATAAACAACTATATAACATATATCACCTTATTTAACAATCATATACACATTAGATAAAACACATTTCGTATCATTATAAAAACACATTTATATAAACAACTATATAACATATATCACCAAACACACGTATTTATCAAAAACTTTTTTAACTTCGAGCATAATATAAACATATATGCAAACTTTTAACAACTATAAAACAATATTTATTAGCTTCAATTATTTTTAATGTAACAAAAAATGCAGATACAATGCACAACATTGTTTATAAAAATGAAGTTATATTAGTCAGTATATATTGATCTAAAGCAATGTAAAAGAAGAAACCATTTAAAAACAAAACTAAAAATATCTAATAAATACACATTTAGATACCTTAAAATGAAGCAGAGAAAAACACTCTTTTGACAAATTGCAGATGAAATTTTCTTAATTTTTCTATTCCTAATTATTTATCCTTAGAGAATATATATATATATATATATATATATATATATATATATATATATATATATATATATATATATATATATATATATATATATATATATATATATATATCTATATCTATATATATATATATATATATATATATATATATATATATATATATATATATATATATATATATATATACATATATATATATATATATCTCTATATCTATATCTATATATATATATATATATATATATATATATATATATATATATATATATATATATATATATATATATATATATATATATATATATATATATATATATATATATATATATATATAGATATAGAGAAATATAAAATAGGCTGAAATAAATCAAAAATCTTAATTTATGTATGAGAAAATAACTTGAATTTACTAAAAAAAGCGATCAGCTCCTCTTACCTGCACTAAAAAATAAAACAAATACTGCTTAAAATGTTTTAAAAAGACTAAAGACCAAACTGAAACAGTTTTCTTAAAAAAGAAAAAATGTGCTGAAACAACTATTTAACCAGTCAATTTAGTTCTAACTTGTTCTAAAAAAATTAAAAATAAATACATATTTAGATACCTTAAAATGAAGCATAACACAACACACTTTTGACAAATTCCAGAAGAAATTTTTTTTTGTTTTTCTATTCTCAACTATTTTTGCTAAAAGAAAATACATATAGATATACATATATATATATATATATATATATATATATATATATATATATATATATATATATATATATATATATATATATAAATATATATATATATATATATATATATATATATATATATATATATATATATATATATATATATATATATATATATATATTTATATTATATATATATATATATATATATATATATATATATATATATATATATATATATATATATATATATATATATATTTATATATATATATATATATATATATATATATATATATATATATATATATATATATAGATATATATATATGGCCGTAGAGAGGGGGGTCAGGGGGTATATTGTCCTGGGGCCCGACTCTGTTCAAGACGCTTAAGATCAGTGACCTAGCGAATATTTTTGCGACCGGGGAAAAAATGAAATAAATGCGCTTTCAAACAATGAAATTAAAAAATTATTACTTTTTATGTTAAAATTGGTTTCATTTTTTTTTTGCTCCTCAATTTTTTGGGCCTCTTAAAGCTTTTGCGACAAGGGCCATTTCCGCTTTGTTCTCCCCTCACTACGCTTATATTTAGGAGTGTTTGTTGCATATATTGCTTTATAATACATACCATCGATATATCAATGACATATCTTTAATATGGTATATTATATCATATAGAGAATGTTTTATTTACCGGAATGATAATTAATGTCAATTTATATAAAATCTTATTTAGTAGTCAAATAAAAAATGAACTACCATCACAAATCTGGATCTCAAAAAAGGAAAGAAAAATTGTCGAGATTGAAAAATGTAAATGAAAAACAAACTCTTCTTCAAAGTTATGGATTTTCAGTGTCTTTGAAAGAGAAAGAATTAGAAAATGAATATCATAATGTAGATGCTAGTTTTAACAATAACGACAACGTTGTTAAACAAGCTGCATATTTAGATCCTGATAACATAGAAAATAAAGATGACGTGGAGCCTGGCAACCTTTTAGTTCCTATCAACAAAATCTCTGAGAATTATAAATCAAATACAACTGATAATAAAATTGTTAAAACAAAACTGCTTGACTTTGATGTTGGTAGTCTAAAAAATAAAAGACCAAATGCTTCTGAAATTGACGAAGCAGTTTGAAGGGGTCCAGAAAAGATCCCATCTCAATTTCCAAAAAATGTGAACGGACATTCATTTCCTGTTTGTATACTACATACAAGTATGAAAAATTGAGAATATGTTCCCAGTGATTGGCTTGTTTGGAGCAACGTTAAACAATCGATATTTTGTTTTCTTTGTCGCCTTTTTAGCAAACTACCAACAGCAAGTCGCTCACGTTTAACAACTATATCTGGGTATTGTTTTCAAAGAAAATGGAAAAATTACATGACAAAATTCCAGAGCATCAAAACAGCAGCAACCATAAATATTGTTATATTAAATGGCGGCTATTGGAAAAAAGTATTGACTCTAATTCCACTGTCGATATTATGCTGCTGCAGACCATTAAGAATCAAGCATCACAGTGGAAACAGGTTCTTCGCCGAATTTTAGATGTCACATTGTTTCTAGCCGAATGAGGTTTGGGATTTAGAGAAACAAGTGATTTAGTTGGAGTTGCATCAAATAGAAATTTTTTGGGCATTTTAGAGCACTTGAGTCATTTTGATTCTGTCTTGAAAGACCATCTGAACAAAGTGATGAAGTCGCAGAAATTGATGAAAAGACAACAAGCAAATTACCTTTCACCGGAAATACAAAATGAGTTTATAGAGTGTTGTGCCAAAAAAGTATTAAACTTTATTCTAAGTGAACGAGAAGCAGCAAAATATTACTCAATACTTGTTGATGCAACCCCTGATTCAGCACACATGGAACAAACTGTATTTATATTGCGTTATGTTTATTTAAAGGAAGAAAATAGTCTCTACGAATTTCAAGAGCGATTTCTAGAGTTTGTTGACTGCAATCAGAAAACGGGGAAAGATATTGCTGAATTTATTTGCCGTGTTATTAAAAAAAACAGTATACCAATGATAGACTGTCGTGGTCAAGGTTATGACAACGGTAGCAACATAAACGGTCAATATAAAGGAGCACAAGCAGAGATAATTAAAGAGAACCAATTGGTAATTAATTCTCCATGTGCTTGTTATAGCTTAAATCTGTGTGTTGTCCATGCCGCAGAGTGCTGTGCAGAGGTTATAAACTCTTCAGTGTTGTGCAAAAGACTTATAACTTGTTCAGCTCTAGCCCGCAAAAATGGCAAATTTTAAAAGAAAACATTGGATGCTCTTTGCATAGCATGTCAGATACACGTTGGTCAGCCAGGATTGAAAGTGTTAAACCTTTTGCAGAACATATTCCTGGTTTAAAGAGTGCTATCTAAGACTAAAGATACTAAATCTTACTGCCGAGACTCGATCAGATATCAAACGTATTGAGAAATACTTGGGTTTATTTGAGTGCATTATACTCGCAAGCACTTGGTTTAAAGTTCTAACAAGCATCAATCACAGAAACACAGTTCTGCAAGCCAGAGATGCAACTTTAGATGTGGAGGTTTTAAATTTAAAAAGCTTAATTGATGACCTCTTATTATTGAGAAACAACTGGGATTCAATTTTAAATGAATGTAAACTTGTTGCCGAAAATCTGGGTATGGTTTCCAATGACATATTCCCGGAGAAAAAACGCAGCCGAAAAGCTAGATTTTCAGATGAGGAACAGAATAATAAATTAGGCAACACCAGTGTAGAATTTTGTTTCAAGCGCGATGTTTTTTATGTTCTTTTAGGCTGTGTCATTGGTAATATGAATCGGCGTTTTGAGGCAGTCAAAGATCGTGAGGAAACATTTGGTGTTGTATGGAAATACATGACATTAGATAAAGATCTGCTGCGTGAGAAAGCTTCATCTGTTTGCGTTAAATACAGCATTGATGTTTTTCTCGATTTAATAGACGAGTTAGAACATTTAAAGGCAATTCACGCATCAAATCTTGGCATAATACAATTATCGCCGTTTCAGTTATTAAACAAACTCCATGAGTTGAAGCTTGATTCTCTTTTCCCAAACATTTTAGTTGTTCTTCGAATTTTTGAACACTTCCAGTTACCATTGCACAAGCAGAACGCTCTTTCAGCACACTTGCAACTGTTAAAAATGTTTTACTTTCTACGATGTGTCAAGATCGACTTTCTAATTTGGGAAGACTAGCGATTGAGGCGCCACTTGCAAGGAAACTAGACTTTGATGCAGTTATCGAACTTTATGCAAGCAAAAAATCTCGCAAAGCTTATTTTGGTTAATTGCAGTACAATTAAATACAATTATTTATTTTGAACACTTAGAATTTGAAATATTCTTTTTTTTAAAGAAAACCAAAGAATATACTTGTTTGTCTGTAAAACTCTCTTAGAGAAATTAGAGTCTTTATTAATACTTTTTATTTTAATTTACATTCTCCTCTTTTTTATATTATATTAAGTTAATTACTTATAGTAAAAATATTAAAGAAAAGGCTACTTAATTAAAAAGCTTTTTATTACAACATTTTTTGCTAAATAATATTACTTATAGTAAAAATTTACTTATAGTAAAAATATTAAAGAAAAGGCTACTTAATTAAAAAGCTTTTTATTACAACATTTTTTGCTAAATAAACTTAGTTACTCCGCGCAGCGGTGTTACTGGGTAAAAGTTTGAAAATGTGATATTTGATTTCAAATTCATTCTTTTAAATCGTTTAATTTGTGTATACACAAATGTGTAAAACAAAATTATTAAGTTCAAGTTATTAATGGTTAAAGTGAATTAAAACTATAGTTTTAATGTACTTGAATTATTTTAAAACTTAATAGTTTTGTTTTGTATTGATGAATGTTTATTTGGAATAGTTAAATTTTAATTAAGTAACTAAATTATTCGAAGTGAATATATGCTTTTATTTAATAGGGAATTTTAAATATGCAAAACTGTCAAAATTTTGTTTTTGATTCTTGAAAATATTTACAACGCTTTTATGACCATTAAAGTTTCATATGATTCTTGAAAAGATTATAAAGATTTAGATGTCTTCGCAATTTGTTAAGAATTTTTATATTCTATTGTATTTGTATTCTGAACTTTGTTTTAAAAATCTAGTTTTTGGATTTGAAACATACTTCCATTAATTTCATAAACATATTTGCAATGTTTTGTTGTTTAAATTAGGTTTTTTTTGTTAACTACACTATATTTTGATTTTTCAAAATTGATTTTTATTAATAAACTTTAGTTAAAATCTCATACCACGTTGATGACTTTCACATATAATTCGCATTTATGATAAATTTATACAAAGATAATTTATTCAAACCAATAGCTTGGTATCATAATCTTGGTATATTTGGAAAACCAAAAATATTTGTTGCAAATAGTTTTACTTTTTAGTTAAACTTCTAATGTACAACATGTTTTTATGAGCTTATAACAAAATGAAGTTATTAAAAGTATTGTAAATTCAGGAATTCAATTTAAATAAAGAAAATTTCGTGTTTCTGTATACTATTTTGGTTAATACAAGTCAAGCTCCTTTTATCTACTCTTGTATCATAGTATAATAAACTGCTTAGATTTTCAATTTTTTGGTTTATCAGATTTTCAAAATTAATTCTATATTTCAAAAAAGTTTCTTTATTGCTAACAAAATAAAAAATAGCTCTGGCGAAAAAAGTGAGTGCACAAGCCTTTATAGTAACTTTTTTCAAAAATTTAATTTTTTCAATATATTTTTATTATTTATACTAGAATCCACGGTCGTTTAAACTCATCTAAAAAGCGACAAGTTATTGTACGCAAGCGCAGTTTGGTTATAAAAATTATAGAACAGAATTTAGAGTTTTAAAATGGCTACGGGCTTTCGCTACAAAGTTAATTTTTAGATGAATACCAAATTTTCTTAACGTTTAGCATTGTCTACAAAGATAACCAGTTGATTGAATTCTTAGTAGTGTTTCTGTAACTTAATTTTGTTAGAAAGTGAGTAAAATAAAAAGAAAATAATTTTTTAGATTGGTGCAGACTGATTAAAAAATATATATATATTTGATTTGTTTATAAATGTAAAAGCCTTTTCTTTCTTTTTGAGCGTTAAAACTTAAAAATTTTTATAATTTCATATAGAAGAATCTTTTATCTTCTCATTACTTATGAGCAACCTTAGCACTCCTAATGAAAAAACACATTTTGGCTATAGCTATAGCTAAAATGAGAATACTACATAGCATTCTCATTTCTGAAAATGCTATATAGCATTTTCAAAAAGTTTGTTAATAATTTATTTTCTACGCATATAATTATTGTGTTTAACAAATTGTGTTAAAAATGATGGTTTAAATCTAGGGTTGTTCGCCGAAAAACAAAACATACGAAAATTTCGCATTTTTATCTTCCGTAATAGAATTGTTATTGCGGAAGTTGCACATGCGAAAATGCACATTCCGTAACGCTCTATACGAAAATATAAATAAATAAAATTCCGTAATAACGCATTACGAAAGAAGACTTGCGAAACAAATCATTTCGTAAGAATACTTACGAAATAGTTCATTACGGAAGGAGCATTCCGGAATGTGCAGTTACGAAAAAGACGCAAAAGATTTTATGTTACGATATATTTAAGATATTAACTGTTAACAGTTTAAATAATAAATAATAAAATTATAAAAAAATGTTGTCAAATGATTCTTCAAATGTTTATACAAATATACCTTTTATATATATATATATATATATATATATATATATATATATATATATATATATATATATATATATATATATATATATATATATATATATATATACATTAACGGGATTTTACTGTATATATATGTATATATATATATATATATATATATATATATATATATATATATATATATATATATATATATATATATATATATATATATATATATATTCATATATATATAAATATATACATATATATACAGTAAAATCCCGTTAAGTTGGACTCTCAATGAACAGATAAACAGTATGCCTTTCTTTTTAAAAAGTATAAAGAGGATGTGTGATAAACAGTTAAATACTTTATTATAAAGAACGAGAGATCTCTCTAAAGGTAAATGATATCAGAAAGAGTAAAAAGAGAAGAAATATATGTGAAACAGCGGGATGTGAACCTGGGTCTACGCGGCCAAATGTCTTAACTGAATGAGCTATACGTTCATTCAACTAAGTGAATAGTAATATTTATTTAATATACAATTAAGAAACTATATAAAACAGAATTTACAGAAAGAGATACGAATGCAAATAGGATTCTATATATCAGGAAAATAAATAGTAATGTGAACCTTTAGATGCTTGTAATTAATATCTGGACTCAAAAACTAGTTACTTTTAATGGAACACATTAGGCTGTAGGAGCCTCAGGGAAATTATATTCAGAAATGGTTATATTAGACTCAGAGTTAGCTAGAAATTATTACAAAATATTTAGGACAGATGTCTAGTACAAAAAGCAAAAGATTTAAAGCAAAATGATTTATATTATTTGAAAAAGTTGTTTTACGTACATTTCATCATAATTTAAGTAGAACTTAGTAAAGCAAGGGAAACGTGTTGAATTAAGCACAATGAACTCAATCTTAAAAGAATAACTAACAGAAGAGAGGTTGTCACTATTGTGAAGGTGACGAAAGATCTGTAATATAGAACATGGATGTCAAAAAATGCTATCTTAAGTAAAAAGAGTTTGATGAACAAAAGTTACAATGGCTGCGGGATGCGAACCGGGATCTCTGCGGCGAATTATCACGTATCTAACTGATTGAACTATACAATCTTATACTCAAATTTATATCTTATTAAAATTAAAAAACAATATTTTCTAAGATCTATACTTCGAAAAGCGTATTCAAACAGGACTCTACATACCTTTAAAATCTGCTAGAACTTTAGTAACGTGAACACTTTTAGAAATTATTGAAATAGGTATATTTTATCAGAAATATGCTTAAGCTAAAGCATATTTTTGAGCCTCTTTTTACTATTTGCTTAAGCATATTCGAACCTGTTTCAAAAAATTTCATATGCTATTAAAAAAAAAACATGTATATTCCTACCCATCATTCTTATTTTTAATATACGTAACGAGTTCAAAAAACATCGTTGTATATATTTATTATGGCACGTTTCGTAAGTTGATTTCCGTTAAGAATTCTTTCGTATGTTGTGATCCGAAATACTTTCGTTTCGAAAGAAATTTTATTTTTTATTAATATTTCTAAAAATAAAACCATAAAAATTTAATAGTTATTATACTGAGTTATAAAAATTCATTATAAACAATTTGGGTTTTAAAGATGTTAATTTTTACAATTAAAATCAGTCTGGCAAACAAATTTTCTTTATAGACTTCAAAACGTCGTTTGGCGAAAATGTTTGTTTCGCAAGTGCGACTTCCGAAACCGCTACTTTCGTATGTTGCAAAATAGTTTTGTTTCGTATGTCAACTTGCGAAATGCTAAATTTCGGAAGTGGCTTTTGCGAAATGAACATCGGCGATTTTAAATGTTTTGTAACATTCGGTACGAAAAAATGTAATTCCGCGTTCTCAATCTCCTTACGAAAGAATGTTGTTTTTCCGGAATTGCACGAAATCCTCCGGTTAACAACCCTATTTAAATCATCTATTTTGAAAGTTTTTTTATTTTTAGATGGAGAGACAACAAGAACTTGAATCTTCTTTGTACGGTTTGTTGATATTTAGTTGTAAAAAAAAATACTCTATTGGAACAAACCAGAGAAATAAAATTGAAAAGGTGTTTCATGTCTTGCTATGAGACGAGATAGAGAATGTTCATCCATCTAACATTTGTCACAAATGTTATGATACGATAAACAATGTCATCAAATGAATGGCGTCAACAACACTCTTTTTAAATATAAACTGGAAACCTCATTATGATAAATGCTATTGTTGTCAACAGGCAGAAAAACTCAGTAAAGGTGTGAATTTTACTAAATCAAGAAAAATAAATAAAAGGCTTATTGGTCGCCCTGTTTACCAGGCTATGGTTTCTGAAAAAGTTTTGTCGTTTTCAATGATTGGTGACATTAAAAAAAGCATTGTTGTAGTACATGGCTCAGAAATAAATGCTGAACAGCTAAAAAATGAGTTTAATTCACATTTACAGCTTTGTCAGTGT